AGTCGGCATCATGTTTTCGTGCCGCTTTGTGGCACTCTTAATACAATAAAATTCATCTGAGAGGTGGAAATGCAGGTAGGTGAGAATTTTCTTTAATTCACCTGCCAGTAGATTTCAAAATTGTCACATAACCTGCACCTCCCTATTACCCGCAGTGGCGCGTGTTTAAGGCAAAATCAACAGATTACCCACGGGTAAATGGCCAGAAATTACAGTAAGATTCTGCTACAGATTTCTGGATGGGTAGGGTACAAAGAGGTGTATGTGCCAATTTCAACTTTAAGTCAATAATCTGCACATTTTGTTTCACACTTAACTCTTACCTTTGGTAGCGTCTGCAAGTACTTGCTCGTAGTTTTTCTGTTATAAAATGTAAGACATAACTGATGTTGTTACAAAAAATTGGACAGGTGCAGTCCAGCTAGATCAAATCAAGTAAGTTTTGGATTCACTGGACCAAGACTCTCAATTTTGAGATAGCAAATTGTGCTCTTCATCACAAATGACCTTACTACTCAAAGAACATTTTCATGGTAAGTATTCAAGTTAGAGGCCCAAACAGAGACCCGTTAGTGACCAAGCTCAATCAGAATTGCATCAAGAATTATTGACCCAAGGCCTTGGTGGTGCAGGCAAAGGGCAGTGGGGTTTACATAAAATGGGCTAATATTCTTTACCATGGCTTAAGCAAGCTAGGTTAGTTAAGGGGACTGTCACCTTTCAAAAACAAAATAGAGCCAATCAGAAGACTTGGATTTACATCAAGGACTATCTTACCATTAAAAGATGATGGTACTTATCCAGTTTATACCATGTTTAATGTTATTTTTTGTTGTTTTCATGGATGCTGAGTTTTGTCAAACTTAACAAAGATGTGTTTGAGAACAAACCAAGAATAAAAGTGACATGCAGTTGAATCAGGCCTCAAGCATACGTTGCTGGAATAACCAATTTTACTCCCAAGCCTCACTTTCACTATGCAGACGGGTGAATTTTAATAGGAAAATATGAAAAAATATGAAATGCTGAAATAAGAAAAAAGATACCCATATGGAAACAATGGAAAAGTGGTGAATATCTATGATAACATTGAAGTGAAAACCAGGCTTAGGGTGAATTTTTCAGTAAATAATGTCATTATGCCTTGGAGCCCAAAGTTGTAGCCATAAAATTACGCTTCCAGCTGAAATTTCAAGTGAAGCGGCTCAAAGGTGGCGAACAATTGTAAGTGTACAATGTATATATGAAGTTCATAAATTTTGAACTGCAGTATTAGATACGTGTGATGCATGATCCTTGCAGTAGAGGGCGCTATTTATGCAATAGCGAAAATGAGACCTGAAAAAAATCAGGCCTGTATAGGATTCAAACCACTGACCTCTGCGATACTAGTGCAGCGCTCTACCAATTGAGCTAGCAAGCCAACTGGGAGCAGGCCGCCAAGTTGATTCGTAATAAACCCATGATGATAAATCAGATACAATGTAATAAACCCATGATGATAAATCAGATACAATGTAATAAAACCATGATGATAAATCAGATACAAGTATTGTATCTGATTTATCATCAGGGGTTTATTACGAATCAACTTAACGGCCTGCTCCCAGTTGGCTTGTTAGCTCAATTGGTAGAGCACTGCACTAGTATCGCAGAGGTTAGTGGTTCGAATCCCGTACAGGCCTGATTTTTTTCAGGTCTGATTTTCGCTATTGCATAAATAGTGCTCTCTACTGTGAGGATCATGAATCACACGTAATTGTAAGTGTGTAACCTTGGAAGTGCCCATTGGGCTTTACCAAGCCATCACCAGCCGGCAATTGCCACTTTTCCATCCAGCAATTTTTGCTGGCAGCCAGTGCTTAGCAACAAGATTTTTGCTGGTCACCAGTGCTTAATGAAAACCTCCGAGCCATTGGTTGAAAAATTGGGGACAAAAGTTTAAGCTCTATCACCTGTTGTTCATATGCTGCTGCTCTATTCTGGTAGTACGTGGCCAGCTCGGCGTTGTTTTCTCGAGGGCAGAGATCAATAGCCTCTGTATAAGATTTAATGGCTTGCTCAAATTTTCCCCCTTTAAAGTACTTGTTACCTCTCAGTTTGATGGCCTGAGCTCTTTCTGCCGGAGACTGTAATGATAGAAAACAATGATATTTTTGTGCTTCAACACCTTATTTGTAAGGCAAACCAATATTCCCTCTAATTCTCAAACTCATTTATTATTCATACAACCTGTGGTCTCATGCTTTTATTGTTTTCAAGTGTTTGGAAACCCTGATGAAACCCAATGCGCAAGTTTTTGAAATAGTACTTCACATCTGGCCAGAAACTTCAAAAATGCCTTTCAAAAAGAGGTAAGGGAAGACTTCTTCAAGATTATATCTTGTTAACCTTTGGAACAGATAATGAGTTAAAAAACAAATGCAAACAAACTGGTCAAGAAAGACATCAGATTTAAACTCTCAAACTCCCAAGATCTGCTTTTTAACTCTCCCCTCTAACTGCTACACATTTCCTTATAAATTTGTTATGAGAATTCGGTGTAAAGCAACAACCTCTACCTAATAAGTCTGAGTATTCTCAATACCCACTTGTTGGATAATGTATAGATATCATTAGGAGAAGTAACATGTTAATCACTTCTCGGCGATAAAAGTGGGGGAGGGGTGTAGCAGTAGAAGTCGTCCAAGAGAGAATCCACTTCGGGGGTGTTCAGCTAAAAGAAATATTTTTTTGACAAGTAACTTTTCTCACACACACCATATTTTCCTCGCCCTCAGGAGCTTCATTTCGAGGCACATCGCTTGCACCTGTGGATGTGTCACCTTCTCCTTTTTCCGCGTCTTTTTGCTCTGAACTTCGAGAGGACCTCCAATAATAAAACGCACCTAAAATGCACGCTGCGGCTACAGGAGCACCGATTAGGGCCGCAATCTGCCACTTGGAAAGGCCTCCACCCGTTTCTTGTGTACTCATAATCGATTTTTCGGACAAAGTTAACAAACAAACTTTAAGTTTAACGATATCAGTACCTTCGGAGCCATTTTGGAATTTAGTCACACGTGTGCAACTAAACGCATAAATTTTCACTGTTAGCACTGACTTACAAATAATGCGGGCTTCACTAGGCTTGCGAGGTTACCTAGGAGCAAGATGGCGACATAGAATGGTGAACTCGCAGTGTTTTATTGAGTTATTTTCTAAATGTCGGGGACACGTTTGACGAGGAAGGTGACAGTAGAAGGCAGCAAGAAGCTTCCAGAAGGAGGTAACCAGAGTTCAGCATCGAGCTCAGGAACCAGGCGAAGTGTTTTTGACAGATTGGGTCCAGGAACAAGCGAAGTGAGTGATAAAAATCTATCCGAATATCATTTGACATCATGTCGATTTCTCCCGTTACCAAATCGAATGTTTGCGATTCCCCGCCGATTGCTTTAGAAGTACATTAAATGACAACTGTAATGATCTCCTTCATTGGAGAGAAAGTTTTCAAATGTAAATCCTTCGAATTCAATGCAGAATCACAGGAAGAGTCTAGTTTACTAGACCGGTTGATTTGATTCATTAATAACGTGTCTAGCTGTCAGTCACTTTTTATCCCTCTAACTCGTAAGATCTGATGGTTCATTCTCCCCTCTAGCTGCAACATATTTCCTTGTAAATTATATACCAGAATTTGGTGTCAGATCAAGACAAAAACTTTTACCTGATAAGTTTGAGTATTCTCATTACCTGCTTGCTGAATAAAATGTGGATATTACAGAGATAAGTTACATGCTAAGAACTTCTTGGAGTTAAAGGGTTGAGACAGTCGATAAGTTTGAAATGTATTTAGAAAAAACAAGGGGCTAACACTTATTAAGCATACTCCAGTAAAGGTGCACTAATCAGATGGAATTTCCTAGACTAGCAAAGTGTTTACTTTAGTCGGTGTGGTTTTAGCTCAAGTTTAGGTCATTATATGAGAGATGAACAGCCCCCCTCCCCATTATTTTATTAAAAAAAAAAAAACAACTAATGAACACAAGACAGAGGAAGTAGAACTTAAGTTATCTCACAAATGTTTTAAAGAAAGATTAGATAACACCCCAAATTTAACAATGACTTGTATTGTTTCCAGGAGATAATGTAGGTAGATAAACTTTTTTGCGAAATACTTAAGCTGTGCTTTAACCTCTTAAGGGAATTTATGAACATGAGGGCTCATCAACGAAAATTTTATGAATGAAAATTATATATAGATGAGAATCATAGGGACCTCTCTATCCTTGCACTTTCTGTGATTTGAAAATCAATTATGCAAAATCAGTCAAAAAATGTGACCAGTATATAGTTGTCTTATATACCAAGTAGTCTAATATGTGTCTTTTGATATAGCGTTCAAGACCTAGAGAGCCATATCTTAATGAGAAATGTAGAAACTGGTTGCGAGATGGCAGATGTCAATTTGGAAGAAATTGTAAATTTCTTCATGGGCCATTTTCTGAACCAAAACCAAGAACAAAGAGTGTTAGAAGCATTGTGAGAACTGACGTTGACAGGTATGATCCTTCCTTTTTGTAACACTGAAGCATTAAACATGAAGGCGCGCTATAAAAGGAGCCTTAGGTCTCACTGGACCATTTGTCAATCAACCATCGTGTGATGTAGAACTCTTAGAGTCAAGTCAGCTTGAGCCACAGCTACTCCAAAGCAGTGAACAGC